CTTTCCCTAGAATATTCCAGTCAATTCAAATATCATAAGAATGCCCAAAAAATAAACTACTCTATAAAATTATCACAAATGTACTTCAAAAGGAGAAAGATATTAAGGTGCAGACAAAGCACCTTAAACAGCTCCAAACTCAAACAAAGTGGGTGGCTGAACCTGTGAGAATCTTGATGAAACAAACTCTCCAAAGCAGAAGAATTATGGGTAGGTAATTTCATTGCCAAAATCATTGCTTTAGAAGATTAAAAAAAGGTTCAGGGATGATCCCAAAAGACAAAGGCATCTCCCCCCCTCCCAAAAACCCCAAAACAAAAACAAATAGCCTTAAATTTTTTGCCAACTAATGCTTCAGCAGCAGCACAGCTGAATAAGGAGAATATGCATCAAAAATGAACTGACGATGATACCTGGGATGCTTTTAGCCACAACTATTCCAAGACAAAAATAAGCACATGCAAAATGAAAATAAAACTCCAGAATAGCAGAGGTTAGAACTCCCCCACTTAAGGTAACATTCTTTGACAGAGAAATTTTGGTAATTGAAGTCAACTGAAATAGAGTTAAATATTTAGGAAGGCAGTATAAGCCAGCCTACCTTGAATAAATGAGCATTAAAGCGTTCCTAATTTGCAGCTGAGTTATACCAATGTGAAATACCATTGCACATAACCTGTCTGGTAACTAGAAACAGCTATTAAATATAAAACAAAACAAATTAAAAACCCTAAAAAACCCCACAATCACTGGGGTGATTTTCAATAGCTTTAGTGTGCTTCTTATCAACCTAACGACCTTAAATTAAATCCTTCAAGTGTACCTAGTGAGCCACAGGTATGCTGCCAGGAAAGGCAGTTTAGGAGACATAACTCGGAAATCTCTCTGAAAACTGATGAATCTATTAATTCCCCCTTACTGTGAAATTCTAGACGTCAACAATTACTTCAGTAAGCTAAAAAAAATTGCTGCCGATGTAAGATACTAACTGTGTAAGTTACACTTATCTGAAAATGCACTTTTAGCCAGGTTTATCAAGAACCCAGTTCAGCCTGTGCCATTGTTAAGAATGGTGCAGCACTTCTCCAAAAACACCAGTTGAAAATAAATTCTGATTCACTAAGAAAAAACATTTTCCCTTTTTTCTGCTGTGAAGGATTCCAAAGCACAGATGATGGAGAGTTTCAGTTTTGTTTTGTGTTCATGTTTTTCTCTTGCACTTGTCTGATGCAAGGACCAACGACAAAAGCCCATCTGGCACCAGGCCAGAACTTCCACAATATCATTCCAAAAAGAAAAGTTATTTGTGCAATTACTATCTTTTATCTTGAGTGAGGGCAGCAGTACGTCACAGCTACTGCATAAGATGAACAAATGATGCAAAACTTCATCTGTGGTTTGTGATCAATTCACATTTGTTTCCTTTACCAGAAAGGTATCACATGACTAGTGTAGCAGCCTGTGCTGAGATTCAGGCTGAATTTTTTTCCTACCTTTCCTAACTTTTAACAGAATAGACCCATTGAAGCAAGCGAGGGCAACACTGTCAGGTCACCTGGAAGCCAGCTGCATATCCAGCACAGTCGTCCTTTTCACAATCAAGTGGTACAGTTCATGAGGAATCACTCATCTCCACATCTAGCACTCTCTTGTGATCTTTAACCAAGGAAAGAGTCTGACAGAAAGCCTGAAAAGTCAGGCAGACTGACCACCTGCGCAAAAATTCTTCACCAACTGACAATACAAGGTGCAAAGACACTTGAACAAAATAACTAACTAAATATCTCGTGACATTTGCTAGTTCCTGGACAGAGTTCAACCCCATACTTGTTCTCTCTTGGCTAATTTCTCGGAAAGTATCAGACCCTTGATACATCCACATAAGCTCCACGTACTATGACTCTAAAGAGACCATTATCTTTACACTCATCTCTATTCAGATTCAAAAACTTATCTGAACAGCATGCTGAAAGCCTGTCTATTCACAGCACACTGCGAAAGACTGTCTGTCTTCATGGCAACCTCAAAGTTGAAAGAGTAAGTGTCATGAAAAACAGAATCTTTCCTCCTGCTGGGAGCTAATGGTCAAGAAAACACAGCGGAAGATTCCTGCTAACTCAGGCAACATATGGACCACTAACAATATGGACCCATTAACAACAGCCTTACATAGGGGGAGAAAGAAGGGCCACTAGCATTCAGCTAATTTGCTGCTGCAGAGTCAGCGGGGATCAGAATCTTGGCAGATACTAGTTTGAGGGGAGAGAGAGGAAGGAAAAAAGGAAAAAAAAAAAAAGCTTTACACCCTGAAAATCTATTAGAAAATACATTCCTGTTCCTATCCAACAAGATAATTCATCATTTTATGCATCTGGTTATTTTGATCAGTCCAATAATAATCAAAATTAACTTTACTGTGTCATGTAAGATTTAAATACCATTAACATTTCTAACTGTACTGCTATATGCCATGACATGAAGTATATTATAAACATACTTCCATAGCAAAGTGCTACAAAAACAGTTATTCTTAGACAAAGTTATAAGAAGGTCATTCTAAAAATTTTTAAATGATTTAAAAAAAATTAGGGATTCCACATAGGATCTTACTCTGGCATCTCAAACTGTGAGGTTATGACACATTTTAACAAATCTGACGTGATGAATGCTGCCTGTCATTAAAACCAGTCCAAGCGTTTTTGCTAGTTTTAATAATAGAGGCTTTTTTCCCCCCTCAAATGCATTCTGCTACCAAAGTACAACAAATGTGATTTACTTCTTATCAAAATTATTTACATAGTTACTCGAGGAATACTTAACAAAAGCAATTTTCATCTCCAGATCTATTTGCTTTAATCTTCTGAATATTGGTATTTCCTTGAAGTGAAGAAATATACTAAAAGGTATATCTACAGCAAGCACTATAGGTATATACAGATTACTGACTGAATTTCGTCCTTGAATTTCATGCTAGAGTCTTACCATGCAGCTTTTCCTTCAGCAAAATAACATGAAGAGTAAAGTCTTAACCCAATTAAAGTCAAAGTAAAGCTTCCATGGACTGTAATGAGACTGGGATTTCACCCAAGGTGTTAAACTGTGGTTTGGGAAAGTGAATAAAAATACATCCATTATTGTAACAAGTACTTACCTGCTAGCCAGACTGAGCAATTCATGTCTATCGGCTACCGCGGATTTCTTTTCCAGTTCCCACAACATCACATTGATCAGGTAAGAATTCTTAATTACAATGGGCACTTCTTCAAACATGTTTTCATAAGCAATGTTTGCTTTTTTCAGTCTGTGAAACAAATTAAAAATATTTATTAATATAATCAGTTCAGTTTGCTGAACTGTTGCTCCAGCTACATTAAAGAAGCAATTTTGTAAAACTCCAGATTTCCAGAGTTCCACAACCAAGCAAAAGTCAAGTCTTTTTGGTAAGAGAGTATTCGCATGGCCAAATCTCATGTTTACAAAGACTAGTAAAAGCTGCTCAAGGAAAAACTCTCAGAAGTCAAGCAGTCGCTTTGCTCACTAATACACTACTTACATGAAAAAGCCTCCAGCAAAAGACTGTACTGGCAGGATTAACTCTGCCCCTTCCAAAATATTTTACTGTTTTCTCTACCATCAGGGTTTCTTAAGTAGAAGTGAATCGTTAGTTACCAAAGGACACTAAAATAGTTCTAAAATCATAACTGCTGATTTCCCCTATAGCCGAATAATTGTAGTTTTTACCAACCAAAAATGAGATTGACAAAATAGTGTGTTTTTGTACTCTATTATTAAGTAAGTACATTTTATGGTAGATATTAGAGTATATATTTTCAATACTTTTACAATGTACATATAAAAGGTGTTGTTATTGCTTTCAGATAGACGCTGTGCCTTTCATAAAACCTGAAAATAAAGGTATATAACATGTAAGAAATATATCCCTAACATCTTTGCATGAGTGTTGAATTTGGGAAAAAACATTTGTTTTCACTTTTTTTTTTGACTAAGCTGCAGACTCATTTGTCCATTCTGGAAATGTTATCTTTAGACATTGAGCAATGAAATGATTCAGTTTTTCTGAATGAAGAAAGTTTAGTAAGTGTTTGTGTTTTTGCTGTTGTTTAGGAAAAAGATGTCAGCTGAGGCCTACATCTAATACAAGTGTCTAATCTTTTGAAACAGAGTACTTTTATCCTACTTTTACTCAAGAAGAATATGTCCACACGGAGGAGTTAATTTGGAATAAAAACAGAAGAATAGCTATTCCAGAATACCTGTTCAATTTTCCTTCTGGAAAAAAGAGCTTATGGACAGACCAGCTATTTCCCTTTCTCCATTTCTTTTTTTTTTTTTTTTTTTAATATTTTTGACTCTGTTCCCAGGCACAGCTATCTTCACCATGTTCCTCGTAGCCAGCCCGCTGACCATCTCCAAAATGAGCTAATGTTCTACCCCTTAAGCCCTTATTTAGATACCCAAAGACTGACTTTCATTCCTTCTTAGCCCACTGTATCAGTGTACATCTATCACTACACCTATACATCCAGTTTCCCCAGCACATGCTATTTTAAATACAGTGTTTCATCACCCCATGTACCCTTCTGTCTCCCAAATAACCCAGCAAACCTATGAGAAAAATATTCTTTTAAGTTACTTACGCTTCTGGAGAGAAGTCTTTCTCTTTGCAGACTTCCATCAGTTTGGGAGTCAGTCTGTATGCCTTTAGTGACAAAGACCCTTGGGCAGTCTTAATGGGATCTATAACCAAAAGGGAGGAAGAATACTATTACAAACAATAAATCTTTTTTTTTTTTTTTAAATTTGCGTATCTGAATAATTTAAATATGAGGAAAAAAATCTAAAAAGTCCTGTTAAACAAAAATTAAGACTCCCAGAGACGAATATAGTCAAAGTAACCATATTGTACTGAAACGTAAAATACAGTCAAACTACGAATGAAGCTGATTAATAAACTTATTGGAGAACACAGGGGGATCTAGACTCATTCTACTCGCAACATTATTTCCCCATTAAAGTTCTAATTCACACTTTTTTTCCTTTCATATGAACTATCCACAGAACTCAGGCATAAGAGCTACCTCATTTAAACAAATATTTCTCCCCTCTAGTCATTATGTAGTAAATTAAAATATTCATTAAACTACATTTTATACAAAAAATAGGATTTAAGAGTAGCAGTAAGCTAATTTAGCTCAAGTTGCCCTGCTGCTTCATGCATTATAATGTAATTGGTATATAAAAAAATTAATTTTACCTTGACATACTATACTGAATTTAGGGGGAAATTTTCTAAACAAACTGTTACATTCCTAGGACAAGGAAGCTTAACACTTGCAGCATGATAACGGCTGAAGCATGCCAACATTAGAATAAAAGCTGTGTTAACATTCATGTTGTCTGAAAGTTAACACAGTAAAACTTTTAGCAATCGGTGATAAAATGAAAACCAAAATAGACTGAAACAAGTGGAAAATTCATCAAGGTCTGATGATGCAATGTTTCCAGCCAATATAAGTATACTTTAACAACTTGTTCTTTACTGTAATCCAATTGTTAACATACTGAAACAATTTTGGGGCAGCTCATAAGATTGATCGTATTCATTAGTATTTTTTCTGACAGATACTCAGGACGTTACATTTACTTCTCAGCTGGAAACTATATGCAAGTCTGCCAGATATGGCAAACTGTGAGTGTTTGGGGAGGGGGAGGCTATAAAGCTGTTAAATTGCCTACGGTTCTGATACAGCACAGAACATCTGGTCTGGAGAGCTTGAGGAAACACCATTAAATAGGCAGAAAAGAAAAAAATCTTTGTGCTAAGAAACAGTCCAGGTTTTGTATGCTTCTGTCAGAGGTATAAAAAAAACTTGGCAATTCGTGTTATGATTGGTCAGTCACGTACAGAGCCAGACACTCTAGCAATCGGGGTTTGTTAGACATCTGGTCTAGTTCCACCAGCCCCTTCAGCGAGGGAGGGGAGATGGAGGAATAAAAATGAAGCAGCTACTCCAGCATTCCAAAACGTACACATCAGGGCTCTGATAGCAAGAAAAATAAACAGAAAGAAGGAAACCCTGTCTAGACTTAGCTGCTGCTGAGGCTGCCGTAGACACAGGGTTGGTATTTACTTGAAAAGGCCTGCCAGGCTACTCTTACAGGCAAAAGACAGAATACAAAAATAGTAGTAATAATATTAAGAGGGGAAAAGAATAATAAAGGAAACCTCATACTGACCGTAAATGAGAACTACAGACTCCTCAATTGCGTGCTGGTAACTGAACTGGGAGTCCAGGAGGGCACGAGTGACAAAAGAGCCATAGTATGTGGACTGGTACCAGCCAACGTGAAGATGATCAATGTTTACGTGGCGAAGGCTTCGCATCATTTCCATCTGGTATTGAACTAGATTAAATAAGAAGTATAAAAGTTTAAAAAGCATAAACAATTTACAAAGTAAATTAACACAATCTCTACTATTTCTAGAGAGCTTAATATTAAAGTAAATTGTATTTTTCCCCCCATTTAGGCAACTGATCAGAGAAGTTTATTTATTCACTATAGGACTATCTTCATCAAAATCCAGAGCTTCCTCAGAGAATAAGACTAAGACCAGCCTGAGCGTGCAGACTGTTTTTTTTTTTTCCCCAGCTGCAGTTAATTGCTAAAATGATCAAACTGCTACACATATGGTTTACAGTGGGTACTACCTTGCTCATTCATAAAGATTTCTGACACTGTGTTTCACAAAGCAATAACCATTTACCATTTAGCAGGAAACAAAGGGTGATTTAAGTTCCAATACTGTCAGGAATTAATTCACTTTTATAACCGAAAGGAAAAATTGTAGAATTGAAATAGGAGAGAGAAGTCATTCGTGTCTCCTTTGCAACGTAAAAACTATGTTTTCAGTATTACTGTTTGGGGCACCAACTATAGCTGTCGGATAGTTTTGATTGCATTTATCCTCCATTTTTCAACACTGTTTCTTTTCATACGTGCTAAGTTACCTTACACGGTAGAGAAAAACTTTTTGTCAGGATCTTTACACCAGTAGCTGTCATGTATCACTGTACCACTGAATACTTTCTGTGTCTACTAAATGCCTCATTCAAGCAGGTTCCTTAATAGAATTCTGTTCCATAAAGGCAATATTTAATGTGGTCCAATCAAGTAGATCAACACCTTATTACTTATCAGACATTTTAAACAGATAGGGACTGTACCTGCTGGCTAAATTTAAGGCAACAGATTTCAGTGTGATTATCAGAGGAACCACTGCTGAGAGCCAAATGATAAGAAACCAAACGCAACAGTGCTAGAGAATCCTTAAGGTCTGCCTGCAGCTGCAACATTTACAAAGATACATGCACACAAGGGTTTTGCTTTTATTTTTATTTTTTCAAGGCTTCTCTTTGCAGACAAAAATATGATATTCGTTATAAAAGAAAGCGACATAAGTTAATCAGAGGAGAGAATGTGCTAATTCTTCAGACGTGACTTCGTTTTCCCTTTAGGAGAGAAAAATACCAAATACGTTCTCTAAAGATATTATGAGACGTTCCTCAAAAATGGATGAATATTTTCTCCAACTTATCATACATGGAACAAAAAATACATTCTGCAGTCTGTGCTGGCCGTTTTCATTGAACTGCCACATCTTACTAATCGTATCCTTTAAGGTAATCCTCAAAGACATAAGCGCTTGCAGACTTTCTCCAGAGCATACGTTGGTACTTGCATTCTATTTCATAACATCTTGATATAAATGCTTTGCAATTTGTGTGTCAGTCAGGATATCAATTAACATGGCACCCCCAAACCAGGATAGCAAAAGTATCCAGGCTACCATCTGAAATGCCATATATTGCACGCAAAGAAAAGGCCTGCACCATTTGGCTGACTCTAAACCAAGACAAATATAAAGATGGCACTACACTCTTCAGGAGAAAGAGCTAAGTGGAGCTGATCAAACAGCTGCTTTAAAATCAGTAGAAAAATCTTCCCCTTTGCCAGATCAAAACAAAATAGCTTATTTTAATCCTCCTTTCATTGCACAACTTCCAGTAGCACAAGCCAGTTTCATGAACACCCCTTATACAGCAGTTCCTAATGCTTTAACAGGTAGCATCTCAAAGACATTTTCCGTCTTTTTTAAAAGCAAAGCCAAGGTGGCTGGTAAGAGAATCTCAGCCCTTGAACTTCTACTTTTTGAAGACGTTAAGTCTCTAAATTCTACTATTACAATATAAAGAACATACACCTTTCCTAGAACAAACTACAAGACTATTTGTGTGAGTATGATTTGAATATAAAAAGCACAGGATATAGATAGACTAGGCTATTTTGGTTAAAAGAAGGTTTGCAAAGATAGATCTGCATGGAAAGTGAACAAAACTTGCATGAAATTATGGTTAGTTCCCTTCCTAGCCAAATGAAGTAGTCATGAACAGGAAAAAAACAGAAAGTGATTTTCAAAAGTAGATGAAAGAGGTGAAACATTTTTTGAGAACAAGATTAAACGTGGATATTTAGATAGCTGAGCTCTATTTCTCCTTGCATGGGTGATTCACTTGTAACTGAGGACAACATCAAAGTAGAGGTGGTCGGGCAACGATGGGAAAATATATATATTCGCATATAAATTTCTATGAAATCACATGGTTGGCCTAGTCAGAGAATCTCTCTCTTAAGAGGACTAATGTTAAGGAGAGGGAATACGCTTTAAAAAAAAAAACACACACAGATGTTTTACGATCCTGAATAAAGATATACCATGCTCTTAAAAGTACACATCTGAGAGGTAACTGATAACTATCTAAAGAAAGCAATGTTGAAGTTTCAGGACATTTCTTTTCTTAAACATAATATAAGCAGCAATGCGTAACTGAACATAAGTGTAAGTGATATCTTACAGAAGAAAAAAGACTCACTGAAAACCAGCCAGATTTCATGTCAGCAATTCCTCCTCTCATGAATGTTAGCAGTTAAATGATAATGAAGGCAATCTCAAAGAACCAATAAAGCATCAATAGCTAGCAGCTCTGTCTTGGGAAAACAACTGCAGAAATTAAAACACGATGCAGTTCCCACTTGAGAGAAATGGAAACTCTTTTAACCACACATATATATTACATAACATGTATTAGTAGCTAGATAGCTCCAAGAAGCTGCCAAATTGCATAAATGGATAACAGCCCCCAAGTTGCTTTTGTTAATATCATTACCACTACTTCTCTCCATCTTTTGCCCAGTCTTCAAAACATCTTCTGCTTACCTAGAAGCTAAGCACAGACTAGGCAAGCGTTCTCTTTCTCTCTCTCTCTCCTCAAGTCTTCAATCTGTTAGGACCTGGGAAGTCATGCAGCTCTAATAACAAGGAGTTCACCATCTCCAACCGTAGCAATGTGGGTGCCCTCCTCCTTCCCAAGCTATCTGCAAAGATGCAGGGCCAACAAGCCTGAGACCACCCAAGGCTAAAGCGAGCAAGGAAAAGGGGCAAGGGAACAGTTAGACAGTCAGATTAGACTGGCTTTTTCATTTTAGCACTGCACCTATATTTTTTAAGCAAGTTATTTGTTATTTTTGCACATCGCTGCGTACTACTTGCATTAAGAATCCACAGCCTCTATCTCCTGGAACATCACGCTTCTCGAACTGCTTTCGGAGGAGAAATTATTTTGAACACAACAGCCTCTCTTTTTTTAGTATCGAAGAAACTCCCTCCTCTAAAACAACAATTTTTTGCAAGTTTGCAAACAAAGTGCGAACAAGAAGAACTAATGCAGTTAGTAAGTGTTTCTATAAATTTGTGTAGAATATAAACTATTCCAGTACAGAAAAAAAAAAGTGCAAAATTATACAGAAAGGGGGGTTTTGCTTGAATTTAACTGGCATGTCTGGTAGGACTGATGAAATTCCTTGACTGAAGATATATGACAACTTGAACTGCAGAAAGTCTACTAAAGCAGGGCTTCTGTTCCCTGTTCCTGTGTTTTGTTTTTTAAGGAAAGTAACGTATCTAAAATTATACAATAAATCAGAGACAAAGTCAGAAATCGAACACAAATATGAGCTCTCTAAACATCTTAAAATATCCTCTGTCAATAATTTCATATTCCAAAACCTAATTTAAGAATTGGTCCAATCAATCGAGTCATTGAATCCCGCCATCCCAAAAACCAGTCCAAGTGATGATTTTAAAACGCAAACAATCATTTGCAAACAACTGGCAAATTTATATCCCTCAGGAAATAACAGCTTACTTCTAAAGCTGTTCTGAAACAAATGTTACTGTAGTAACCTGATACGTTATGCAAGTTTATTTAACACTCCAAAATTATAGGATTTTCATTTCTTTATAAACAATTCATTAAAATCCAGAACTCAGGAATTCACATATTGATGTACGTGCCACAGAAATTTAGATCTTAAATCGTTATTATTACCATGACATGAGATACATTTCAGTCAAGCCAAACTTAGCCCAACTTATAGTTCATTATATTTCACATGTCATAATATTTATTGCTGGTAAATATTATGACATGTGAAATCCTGATCAAAGATGGCCTGGACGCAATACATTTGATGGCATCTTAAATGCTCAAGGCCTCAATTTCCAAATCAAATTTTAAGTTGATAAGTCTTAAGAAGTGTGATTTTCAAAGTCACAACCAATATGTCTCCTAAAAAACCCAAATCCTTCTGGAGTGAAAGAACGCAGTACCCAAGCCTAAGTCTGTTCTGAAAGTATCTCCGACTGTTTTTACATTGCTGCTCATCCAATTCACTGACGCGTATCTTAAACAAACGCTGCATTACCAAAGAAATTAGCAATTCTGCACTAGAAGCCACTAATGCTTGCGTAACCCTTAGTCTGGATTTCACAATTAAGTGTTTGTCTTCACTCACACTGAAGAAATTTGCCCTTCAACTCTGAACTTTAACAGCAAAAATTACATGTCTGCATGAGGATAGTTCACCAAATTTCAAAAACAATTTGAAGACCTTCAGTGTACCCACACCCACGACGACCTCCTCAAAAAGACCACGTGGAGTATCTGAGGATGGATATTCTTTCCTCTGAGACTCTTCATCCAAACGGACAATTTGAAAGATAAACTGAAAATCAGGGTTGTCATTAACTAAAACTTACGCCACACCAAGCGTGCTTTCCAAGAGATGCAAAAGTCTATGTAGCAAAAGATAAGTATTCAGCTTCTCCACTAACGTCTCTCTGAATTTATCCGACAACTTGAATACAGCCAATTTCGGTTACGCTGGTCAAACTATATTGAAAAACAACTATAATATTCTTTTTATAGTACCACTACTAATGTGGGTAGTATTTTTAAGGCAATAATTTGTCTCTTTTGAAGTGCTACCATGTGGCAGTGAATGTA